ACGCTCGGGAACCCGGGCCACTGCGCCGGCTAGGGGGCCCGGAACCCGCGCGCCCCCGGCGTCCCCGGCTGGCTCTGCCCGCGGTCCCTGGAGCCGATGCCGGGCGGGAGCGATCCCGGAGCGGTCCCCGGCCCAGCCGGTTGTGGACCTCGCCCGTGTCACTCCTTCCTGCGAGCATTTTTCGCCTCCTCCGGGTAGGAAGCCCTCCTCGGGGTTGGAGCAACACCAGCTGACCTTCTCCTGCCTGCACCGCCAGGCCCCCCACTTGCCCCCTGAAGGCATAGGGCCATACCACCACCTGGGTGCCCACTAATGTCTGAGCGGTGGCCGCAGTGCCAGGAGCGATGGCAGCCAGGGGCGGCTTGGCACCCTTGAGTAAGACAGCTGGAGGTGGTGACAGCTGGCACCACCTGGCCTGGGCCACCCTTTGTGAGGCTCAGCCGGGGGCAGGGGCGCTGGCTGCTGCAGGTGGAGAAAGCTGACCTGGCCATGGGCCTCCTGGGTTGGGACTCAAGGGCAAAGGTTGTCTGGAGAGCCACCTGTACTCCCTTCTCGGCCTCTAGAAGCGCCCAGCGGTGGTCTGCTCAGCTCCTTGCGTGTCGGTTCGGGTGTAAGCCGTCTGCAGGAAGAGCCCCCGTGCTCTGGTTGGCATGTGTTGACCCCGGCTGCCCTCTCTGTCCCCTGCACGCAGGCAGCACCTGTAAATGCTTGCTTACTTACCTGGAGAAGCGTGCAGGTCCCTTCCTTTAAAAGGCCTCCGCCAGGGAGAAGCAGACTCAGACAGGATCAAGATTCACCTCGTCCCTCGTCTGTCTGTGCGATCCTAGCCCTGACAGCTTCCTGTTTTCCTGAGGGTTGATCCTCATTTAATCTTCTCGGCGCTCCAATAAATCTTCTACGGGAAGTGCTTACCGGGTAGAGTACTGTGCCTGGAGGCCTGGCTCTCCCAGCGACCAGGGCTGGAACCACACCATTCGCCCCGGCCTCCCCACTCTGGCTCGGGGCGGGCTGGGTTTGTGAACGCGGCTGCTGTGGTCAGAGCAGTGGATGTGAACTTCACGCAGTGGGTTTCAGCAGAGTGAAGGGAGACCTTCTTGGGACGCAGAAATTATTTTGAAATCTCAGCAGGGTTTTCATAACGGTGATAAAACCCACCCACCCACCCCCTACTTCCAGGTGGGCCTCGCTAGCTCTCCCTGCCCGACCTGCCAGGACCGTCCAGCGGGCCCCATGACCTTGAGCGCGCAGTGCTGCTTCTAATTCCCCACCCCCACCCCAGCCAAGCTCAGAAGATACCTGGCAGGGTTTACCCTTAGATGGTTTCAGTTTAAAGTACTTAAGGACGACTTACCCAACACTTAGCCTTGTGAGTCTCTGACCTGTGAGCAGTGCTGCTTCTGTTATAGCAACTGTGTGGGCGGCAGAAGGGGCCCTTTCCAACCAGAGCGGCCGTGTGTCCTTCCAAACGGAGATCGCATCAAAGAGCCAGAACGTCACACCTTTAACGAAGAAGCAACTTGAATTTGTTATTCGATAGTTTTTTCTCTTCCTTCCTCACGCGTTTCTCGGTCTCGGACTTCACCCGCGGAGGCACTGGGCCGTGTTTCCTGGCTATCAAGTTGAATGAGACCCAGTCTCTGCCTCCGAGGGGTTTGCGGTGTACACGGGTGATCTGATGGAAGAGGGCATGGTTCTCTCTGGTTACGTGGAGGCCTTTGGTGCGGGGTGTCCGCGAAGGGCTTCAGCTGAGTCTTGAAGGATAGTTTGGAGTGGCAAGCCCCAACTGGGGGAGAAGGCTTTGGGCGAAGCAAAGGCCTGGTTACCATGCACTGCTGCTGGGAAAGGGCAGGGGGTCATCGCGAGGCTGGAGCTAGAGTGGGAGCTGACGCGGGGGCCGGGCGGGAAGCACTGGGGGCGATGGCTCAGAGCGTGACTCCCCGGGAGCTGGGGGAAGCCACCGAAGGAGCTGAGGCCTGTGAGTGAGCTGGTCAGGCTCGCGTTCCCCCGAGAGGACAGGGCAGCGGTGGCCAGGATGCATCGGTGAAGGGCGCAGCACAGCAGTGAGGCAACAGGCCTCACCGTGGAGGGGACGAGGGGAGCCTGGGAGGCTGTGACTGCGGCTGCTTGTGCGGGAGAGCCGGGGTGTAAGGAGGCTGCGAAGACGGCAACAAAGGTGGCTTGGCGGGAGGGGGCGCCGCAGGGGCCGCGTGGTGAACAGGGGCCCCGGGGAGACGTGCGGGGACGTGCAGCCCAGGGAGCGCGCTGTGCTGGAGAGTGGCGCGGGAGGGGACGTGGGTCGGGCCTTCCAGGAGAACGTACGGAGTGTGAAAAGAAGACTAAACCGAGACCCCTAACATCTCCTGTCCTTAAAACACAGAAGGGCCTTTACCGACGCCTTGCTTTTCTAGGGGTAAGGGACGGTGGGTCTCTGATTGTTCCCGCAGAGCCCCGGTTGCTTTGTTAGAGCCGAGGACGGGACCTAAGATAATAAATAAGCTGGTACCGTCGAGATACTTGCGACTCCCGGCAGCCGGGCCCTACAGAGGGGAACTGACCTCCGTAGGGTCTTCTTGGCTGTAATCTTTACAGAGACAGGACGTGAAGCCTTCCTTGCACGCTGCAGCCGCTGGTTGGAGTCGAACCTCCAACCTTCCAGTTAGTAGTGAAATGTAAACCGGAGGCCTCCATGAGACACATGAAGTGCAGCATCCCACTGTCTCAGGTGCCTTCCTGCCTCGAATGGGGGAATCACCTGTCTAAAGGACCCTCGTTCCCTCCAGGTGGAGGGTTGGTCCTCGGAGCCCCGGGGGTCCGGGGAATGAGTGTGGTGTCCCCAGGACCCCCGTGGTGTCCCGGCACCAGCAGCAGGACTCAGAGAAGAATCCCTGAGCTCACTGCCCGCCCCCCTCTGCTGGGAGGCTGCTTGGGTAAAGGGGAAGGTGAGAGGGTGAGAACAGGACAGGCAGATGTTGCAAAAGGAGGCCCAGCCAGAGGGGTCTGTCCGAGGAGGAACTCGGCGGGAGGGGGTGGGGCGTCGTCGTCTGAGCTGCCCTGACTTCTCGAGGGAGAGAAAGCCTCCACCCTCAGCAGCCCAAGGCCGGTTCCTACAAGGCGGAGGTTGGGACCGTAGTCACCTCCAGCCTTTCCGCCGATTCCGACCCCAGCCGTTACCCTCACGGCATCTCTGCTTCCCTGCTGGGTTTGGTTCGTTGCAGTGGCCACACAGACAGTCCTCGTGATTGTGGGGTTTATTAGGGAGGCAGCAGGTTACAATTCAGGTTCAGGAGCGCACTCAGGATGCGACAGTCTCCCCTCTGCCGCACGGCCTGCTCAGGCAGAAGTTACACAGCTCTTCTAGCTCCTAGATGCACCCCACCCCGCCAGCAAGCCTCCTGCCAAAGGCACTCAGCTTTCTCGCTCCGTGGGCCGGCAAGCCTGCCGCTCTGTCTCGTGCCAGTCTCTCGGGTCTGCTGCCACCGTCTCCGCGCACTCTCTGCCCTCTTAGCACAGGGATCTCGGGTCCGAGGATGGGTTCCACTCCAGGCTGTTCTACGCCTTGATGGCACTGAGACCCCCTTCTCTCTCTGGGAAGGGTCGTCGTGAACCAGCGGAAACGACAAAACAATAACCCGCACCTCAGGGCTCCATCCACCCTATTTTCACGGCCCCACCCCTGCAGGCAGGCCACGTCCCTTATTTACGTCGCTGACAAGCTGCCCCATCCCCTTGGTGGGCCGTGAGCTCCTGACGTTAGCATTGTCTTCCTGCCTAGTCATCTGGTGGGACCGAGTCCACGCCATTCACCGCCCCACACTCGTGTCCGTTGCAGGTCTTCTTGTTAGCAGCCGTCCTTGTCTGCGTGGGTGGGGGTCTCCTTGTTAGCAGCCGTCCTTGTCTGCGTGGGTGGGGGTCTCCTTGTTAGCAGCCGTCCTTGTCTGCGTGGGTGGGG